TTGACTACAAGTCGAAGACTGAAAATAACATCGATGTCCACGTTAAGTGTTTATGTCCCGACCGCTGGTCTCAGGCCAGCGCGACAGGCGAAATTACCATTAGGCCTGCTGATGGTATATCTGTGAAAACGAAGATTGATGATGGAATGAAACTGACCAATGACATTGAAATATCTGAGAAAATAAAGGGAACGAAACACAATATAGTATGTAGTATTGACAAAGAGGGGTAAGCCGCACTTCCTACCACGCATTTTCAGTGTTTAGTGAAAAGAACCTCAAACTGAAGAGTTCTTTGAAGCAAGACCGTGTGAACGCTAAACTTAAAGTTGACTTCCCCTCTAAGTTCCCTCGTGCTGTAGGATCTGTTGTTGTTGGGTAACTTTTACCTTGAACGCTAACCGCTTTAGCGATAAATGTTATATGGCTGGTGCTAAACTGTCCATTGAAACGGATGGATTCGAAATAAAGAAATATGTCTACTCATTGGGTTACGTTGACAAAGGATTTCAGCTGCACGGCTTCCTAACCAACCACCGAGATATCGATATAACGCTCTTCCAATCGCATAGCTTCGTGGACTGTGGATTTAAAATAAGCTGGGATTCGTATTCAAAGAACACTTCATTGAGCGCAGCTGTGATGTACAAGTCGAATAAGAATACGTTTCTCAAAGCCCGGGTGGATGAACATGGGAACATAAATTTGGCATATGGAATAAAATTCATACCCGGTAATCTTCCGTTTGGTTTGTTTTCGTAGACGCAATTTTCCATAGACCATGATAATTACATTTTTGGAAGGCAGTTTCCTTAAAGCGCCCTCGCGTCCCCCACATTCTCGATAAGACTGTAGAATAATAATATCTCTCATTTTCTTCAGGAAAAGCTGTTGTTTTGCTGAGATATGCACGCGCTGTCGAGTCTTAAGACTTTGGCCGGTGACGTCTGAGTTTCCGTGAACGGATTCCACGAGTGACCTTTAAACGCCGCTGAAGACGTTAGTTGTTACTTTTGAATCCGTTGGGTATATTATTCTGGATCTCGTGTGTCTGTATTATCCGTTTGGGATTGAGGTTAGGACTCACAACCTGTATCAACCCAAATAATCCTAGCCAGCATCTTTTCCTTGACTCTCACTTCGCCCAATTCTAGGTACACGGTCCTTATCTTTTTGGCGGCCACTGAACGCAGTATAAGAAAGGCACATATTTTTTCCTCTGTTAGTCAATTTTACTGTTTTTGGTCAGCGCCTATCTCGTCTGCAGAGTTTCTTTTTATTTAATTTCGTTTGTTGCTTTACCTCAAAAATTATCTTTAGAAGTTTGCTTACTACATTTTTTCACGATATCCACTGGTATCGTCAGTTTTAGGACGTTTTTCTCTGTAAATTTTTGAGATAAACCCAAATATTTCTTGATTCACCGGCTTTCTTCATTCCACCTTTCGTAAACAAGAGCTGAGTAATTCCGTCGTTCTAGTATTGTTAAGCAATGAAACATGGTTACCATCCGCAGTTTATGACTGTCGCTTCACCCTGTTTTAAGCCCTCATAGAACTTTTCTAAACACTCCCTTCCCGTTTAAGGAGCTCTGTTGACTGTTTCGGCAATGACAAGCATGTCCTCCTACAGGACGACCAATTACGGAATGTGCCTGGAACTCGAAAGATGATCTCTATCCTTTACTCTGCGGAGAATTCGACTACTTAATCTCTGACTCACCCCTGCCGTTGAATCAGTTACTGATGTAGAACCTCGTGATAAATGTACTTCCGCCGTTGTGCGGTCTTTTATAAACAATTCTTATTACACATTCTCTTTGGAAATTATCTCATGCAGTTTAATTAGATTCAGCTTCCGAAGTCACGACCTCGAATTTCCAAGGAGTACAAAAACAAAATTGTTGTTTACAACAAGAACCTGGGGCACGCATATTTGCTAATATTCGTAAAAAAAACAGTATCCTAGGCTAGGCTATTTTCGGAGTTCACAGTTGGTCGTTATTGTTTTGACCTAGTTATAGGATATAGCAATGTCTACTGTTAATTAAGACTAAGTTAGGCGGTGTTTCTGACTTGCATTGGAGAAAGCGGCCAACGCCGGATCCAGTCTGGTCTTCTTGACCCATAATGAGGGCGAAGAGTACGGTTGGCATTAACTAAGTCTGCTATCTCTATAATCTACCCCCTGTGGCAAGTCATCATCACTGCACTAACTTGTTGGTGCATATGGTGTACTTCTAGAAATCGATGGTCGAATAATCACCATCACTGTTTTGAGAAGTCGTGTCTGTTGATGGGTTGGATTGTCAGGAGGCTTGTGGGTTCATGTGTAGACTCCTAGTGAAGACTTGTTGCCTTTTTATGCACTGTGCGCTGGAATGATAAAAAGAAGTATCTGCAACCGGATAGATACTTTGCACACCCCCCCCCCTTCGCAACACGCAACATGGGCGACGCACCTATGCCTTCACGCGAATGCCCGATCGCCATCGCGAGGTAATATCTCTCAGAGTTGGTGTCGGCATTTGAGTATTTCGCCCGTGATACGACTTACCTTACATGCTCTCATCGTCCCCAGTGTTCTAATACATATCCTTTTGTTGCGCCCCGACCTGCTGTCGTTAGCATTAAGCTCCGCAATTCCGAGAATATTCGCTGTCCCGACGGTCTGCATCGAGCTGGTCATTTACAGGACTCTTCGTCGCCTCTGGTAAGCAGGAAATGTCGACTCAAGGCTTACAGTATCAAACTCGTGGTACAGTCGACTTTGTTAGAGAACCGCCATAATGTCTGGATTAGCTCAGGATGCTGTCGCGCTGATAGAGTGCATCGTCTTATTTGTGACGAGGTTTGCGTTTTGCGCCCAGTTTGCCTTTCTCAGGTGCCGTTAGTCGGGGCCAACAAGCTTCATTTTCAGCACGCGCCACCGACTTTCGTCATCTTTCATGAAGGCCGATTGGCGCCTAAAGGAAGCATTCGCGTCTTTATCATGTTTGGGTTATCGCGACGGGTCCATATACACCTTCGACTTACATGGTTACTATCAGATACCAAACGAGTTTCAGGCCTTGGTTAGTCGGTCTGTTACAAGTCGCTCTGGACAAGGCATACTTTTGCTGGATGTTGTGTGGTGAATAAGCCAAACGCCAAAATCACAGACCGCGCCCCAGCATTGTGTTGAGATGAGGTCGACACCGATTTCTGTGCCGGCCGGTTTAACATAGTCATTGATGGTCATGCTGTTACACAAGCTCCCTGTTGGATCGACAACTATTGGCATTCGTTCAACATGCGTTGAATTATCACGGATTAAAATGTATGCATGTCAAGATAGAGGAAATGACCTTTTACGAATGGGACGGCGCCCTGCGTCTATTGCTTATATTACCTTAGTGTGGGTGTGTGTACCTGCTGAAGTCTAGAGATGTCGCTGTATTTGCAGAATACATTAGCTCACCGGGAAGTTGTAGAAAGTTTCTCTTGGCAAGGTCAGCTGCAGTGCAGCTTACGTCAG